AAAACCCAACCCCCCAAAACAGAGAAAGCAAATCTCAGTCTACTTAAATAGAACAATGTGTGCTTCGGGCATAGCTTGATTCAGGTGCTTACCCAGCGCATCAGCCTTCTGTCTTGGCCTCTCAGCTTTGCTTTGCGTTGGTTTGTGATTTACTGGCACCGCGGGGAGGCCCTCTGGCCGTCTCTCCCCTTGCAGCCTTCCCGTTCGTCCGCTTCGCGCCTTCCGCCAGCCTCGGTCCCAGAGCCGTGGCTGACTTTCGTGGGCCATCTTGGGTCCCGCCCTGGTGCCTCAGCCAGTCACTGTGGGGAGAGGGAGCAAGGAATGCCCTGATGGGGCCGCCTGGTCGGGTGTCCACTCTGGCAGGCAAAGCCTGAGTGAGGAAATGAGAAGTCAGAGTCGGAGCCGGAGGCGCGGAGGGAGACTGGCTGTGGAGGCCACACAGGCGGGAGCCGTCCTCTGCCTCCCCCAGCAGGGGCTGGGCCCAGCCAGGCCCAGGGACCATGGGGAGAGGCCACGGGTCCAGGTGAAGCCACCGGGGTCCTGCCTGGGCTGGAGCTTCTGAGGGGGATCCCGGTCCCTCGTGGCACTCCCCGGCTCCCCACTCGAGCCTTTTAGCTTCTCCAGGCCGGGCTGGAAAAAGCTTCTTCTCATTTTTTCTTTTTCTTTCTTTTTTAAAGAGACAGGGTCTCACGCTGTGGCCCAGGCTGGCGTTTTGTGGTGTGATCGTGGCTCGCCGCAGCCTTGACCTCCTGGGCCAGGCAGTGCTCCTGCCTCGGCCTCCCGAGTCGCTGGGACTCAGTGCTAGCACACCCGGTTCGTTTTCTGATGTTTTTGTAGAAATGGGGTTTCTCTGTCTTGTCCAGGCTGGTCTCAAACTCCTAGGCTCAGGTGGCCCTCCTGCCTTGGCTTCCCAAGATGCTGGGATTATAGGCACACCCGGCCCTCTATAATTTGTTTTGGCCGGAAGTCCCAGTCAAGGTGTCAGCAGGGCTAGCTCGCTGCAGAGATCTCGGGGCGGGCCTTCCTTGCCTCTTTCGGCTACCGGGGGCTCCAGACCTCCCTTGGCTTGTGGCAGCCTCCCTGCAGGCCTTGCCTGGCCCCACACGGCCTCTCCTCTCTCTCTCTGTCCCTCCTCTGTGTATCTCTGAGGACATTTGCCATGGGAGTTAGGGTTCCCCTAGCTCACCCCGGCTGACCTCATCTCAAGAGCCTTAATGACATCTGCAGAGACCCTTTATCCAAACAAGGTCACACACAGAGTTTCCAGGCATTAGGGCGTGATGCATCTTTCTCCTCTGGGGGATGTCATCACTCAACCCCCTGGACATCAGCTGCTGTTTTGTTTTTGCATTCACTGGTATTCACTTTACAAGCACCAGATGACACAGCACTGGAAGCTGGGTGTCCAGCAGCTGATCAGACAGCCCAGCGCTTTGCTCCTGGGTGAAGTTCTCAACACCATGGTCCAGTGGACATTCTCATGTCAGCATTTAAAATGTTCGTGTAGCCACATTGAAAAATTAAAAAAACTGAGATGAGTGGATTGCCTGAGCCCGCGGGTTCGTGACCCGCCTGGGCAACTTGGCAAGACCTCATCTCTACAATAAATAAAAAATTAGCCGGGCGTGGTAGTGCGCGCCTATAGTTCCAGCTACTTGGAAGGCTGAGGTGGAAGGATCACTGGAGCCCAGCAGGTCAAGGCTGCAGTGGCTGAGAGCGGACACTGCACTCCAGTCTGGGTGACAGAGTGAGACTCCAACTCAAAAAAAAAAAAAAAAAGAAAAATTAAAAAAAAAAATGACCAGGCGCGGTGTTTCACACCCACAATCCCAGCACTTTTGGAGGCCAAGGCTGGAGGATTGCTTGAGGCCAGGATTTGGAGACCAGTCGGGGCAACATAGTGAGACCCTGTCTCTACAAAAAAATTAAGAATAAGGCAGGTATGGTGGTATGCACCTAAAATCCCAGCTACTCGGGAGGCTGAGGCAGGAGGATCACCTGAGCCGAGGAGGTTGAGGCTGTGGTAAGCCATGATGACGCCTCTGTGCTCCAACTTGCGCAACAGAGCAAGACCCATGTGCTCCAACTTGCGCAACAGAGCAAGACCCATATCTGAAAAAGACAATATAGCAATTTTACTAATATCTTAAATTCTTCAGTTGAACCCAGTATATCTAAAATATTGTCATTTCAACATATAATTCACTTGAAAAATTATTAATGAGATACGTAATATTCCTTTTTTTTTGAGTTGGAGTCTCACTCTGTCACCCAGGCTGGAGTGCAGTGACACGTATGGCTACCACAGCCTTGACCAGCTGGACTTAGGGGCAATCCTTCCACCTCAGCCTTCCAAGTAGCTGGAACTACAGACACATGCCACCACGCTTGTCTAGTTTTTGTGATTTATTGTAGAGATGAGGTCTCACCAAGTTGCCTCGGTTGGTCTAGAGCCCCTGGACTCAGGCAGTCCTCTCGCCTCGGCCTACTAAAGTGCTGGAATTACAGGTTGAGCCACTGCACCTTTTTTTTTTTTAAGAGACGAGGTCTTGCCAAGTTGCCCAGGCTAATCTTGATTGAACCTCTGGGCTCAGGCAGTCCTCTTGCCTTGGCCTCCTAAATTGCTGGGATTACAGGCTGAACCACCGCACCCAGCCATAATATTCTCTTCTTGTGCTGAGTCTGCAAAATTTGGTGTGTGTTCTACACTAACTGCATGTCTCTGTTTGGATGAGTCACATTTCTTTTTTTGAGTCGAAGTCTCACTCTGTCGCCCAGGCTGGAGTGCAGTGGCATGCTCATGGCCACCACAGCCTCCACCTGCTGGGCTCAGGTGATCCTTCCACCTCAGCCTCCCAAGTAGCTGGAACTACAGGCACATGTTACCATGCCTGGCTAATTTTTTGGTTTATTGTAGAAATGAGGGCTTGCCAAGTTGCCTAGGCTGGTCTTGAGCCCCCGGGCAATCCTCTCGCTTCTGCCTCCCAAAGTGCTGGGATGATAGGTGTGAGCCACTGTGCCCAGCCAGATGAGTCACATTTCAAGTGCTGAATGCCCGTATGTGGCCTGAGGCTGCCATATGGGATCGCACCCTCTTCAGCTTTATTTGTTTGTTTGTTTATTCATTTGAGTCAGAGTCTCACTCTGTTGCCCAGGCTGGAGTGCAGTGACACACTCACAGCATGACAGATCCCTCCACCTCAGCCTTGCAAGTAGCTGGAACTACAGGCATGTGCCACTATGGCTGACTAGTTTTAAAAATGTATTTATTGTACAGATGAGGTCTCGCCATGTTGTCCAGGGTGGTCTCAAACCCCTGAATTCAGGCAGTCCTCTCGCTTCAGCCTCCCAAATGCTGGGATTATAAGTGTGAGCCACTGTGCCTGGTTCAGCCTTAATTTAAATAGTCAGTTATTTGTGTATAGTGCTTCTCTGGTTGTAAGCATGCACACACATAATGAAGTTAAACTGTGTTCAGTTTGGTAGCCTGCATTTTATGAATATTGTATTGTGAGCATTTAGTGACCTACACCTTCTAATTTTTTTTTTTAGGTTGGGCACAGTGGCTTACACCTGTAATTCTAGAACTTTGGGAAGCTAAGGTGGGAGGATCGCTTGAGCCTAGGAGTTTGAGGCCAGCCTGAGCAACATAGCGAGACCTCATCTCTACAAAAAATAATTTTAAAAAATTAGCCGGGTATGGTGGTGACTATAGTCCCAGATATTCGGGAAGGGTGAGGCGGGAGGATCGCCTGAGCCTAGGAGTCCGAGGCTGTGGTGAGCTGTGATCATGCCACTGCACTCCAACCTGGGTGACAGAGTAAGACTCAAACTCAAAAAAAAAAAAGTTTAAAAAATTTTTTATTTTATCTTGATGTCTGGGTAACTTACAGTAATTAGTGTAACAATTCTGTTATTATTGGACAGGATAGTTGCTTCCAAACTGTGAGGTGACTGTCTCCCTTACAACTTTGACAGTTTTGGGACTGGATTCCTGAAAGTGATACCTTGCTTTTTGCATTTGGCAAAATGTCTTGAAGATCATTCCATTTAAAACTGCCGTGAAGCCGGGCTCGGTGGCTCAGCCTGTAATCCTGCGCCTTTGGGAGGCTGAGGTGAGTGGATTGCCTGAGCCCGCGGGTTCGAGACCCGCCCGGGGCAACTTGGCGAGACCGCATCTCTACAATAAATCAAAAATCAGCCGGGCGTGGTAGCGCGTACCTGTAGTTCCAGCTACTCAGAAGGCTGAGGC